ATCCCACCTCCCCAGTGTCACAGACAACAAATGAAGCAGAACAGTGCAGCTCTGAACCATTCAGCCCAAACCCCTCCACCCTGCGCTCCACTAAGAGGCGGCTCAGAGTAGAAAGCACACATTAATTAGACTTCTATCTGTACATCTCTGCTTTGCTCAATTGTGAGAGAGTAGTGTAGAGGAGAGAGAGTGAAAAGAGAAGAGATGAGAAGGTTGAAAGAGGAGAAGTGCTGTGTGTAAGTGCTTGTCTCTCACGTTTGATAGTGTGCATGTAAGACGACACCAGTTATTTATTTTTCTTCGAATGTTGTAGTTTTCTTTTTTTCTCCAATTTAGCTATGAGAAAGACATACATGAACAAAATGTAAAATACCAGTCAGTGAGTAAAAAATTATGGTGTTGTGAATGTGTGTGAGCGTGTAAGAGAGAGAGAGCAGCATGTCTCAGCTGGACCTTGCAGTTTATTCTGAGAGGAGAAAGCTCTATCAGAAGTCAAAGGTCAAAACTTACAGCAAATGATTCAAGCAAAAATAGCCAGAAACCTCAACTATATGACACCTATCACTTTTCCCAGCTCTCCAGTCTGAAGTAAGCGAGCTAAACAGGAACAGCCTGTTACAACAAGGTCAAACCCAGACAGATTCTTTAAACTCATACTGTATATTTTTGGTCTGTATCTATTTTAGTTGCAATAAAACAGAAACGGGAGACAGTGAGCGATGAAAAAAGACAAAAAGCAGTGGGAAAAAGACAAAAAGCAAATGGGGAGAAACAGAAACCAATTGCAAAACACATTTAGAAGCAGTGATAATGTCAATGTAAGTGAGAAGATAATCACACGCCCTTGGAGTGTAAATTAGTTCTGATTACTGTGTTCGTTGTGATGGTATGACTTTGTGGTGACATCCTACACTGAGGTGCTGAGAGATGGGAGAAAGCCATTTGTGTGAGTTCATTACACTTTTACACATCTCACAAATTAGGCATGCATGAGCTGGCAGCCTTGGCAGCAAAGTCATTAGTGAGTAAGTGCTGAAATTTGTTTGGTGATTTTTTTTTTACTTCCTGAGAATTTTCATTAATTACTGCGTATGTCGCATCTGCGACATAAGCATCATAGCGTCAAGGACCAAACACATGAATACAAAATGATTAAAGAAATGCTTCATCAAAAGAGGCGATTATATTATCTACTCTTATCTAAATCAAGTTGGTATGTGTACTTCGATGGAGCAGATTTGATGGAACACACATTGTTTCTGTGTATTTTCTGTGCCTATTTGTAAAGTAGTCCAAACATGTTGGTCTATTAATCACCAACAATGAGAGATTAAGTGTGTGAAGTAATTAGTATCTTTAGGCACCTATAACACTTCTGTAATTACCCCCCTGCTGTTGTGATGTATTTTCTAGTAAAAAAAGGTCACACCAGGAGGCATCTCAGGCAGTCTGCCTGAGTATGAGTAGTGATTTGAAACACTTTGTCAGCAGTAAGTCACACGTGCTACAGCTATTTAATCTTTGCATATGTTGATGATGCATGAAATGTATGTTTTTTTTAGCTAAAAACTACTTGAACAACTCCTTGAACTTCATTTCAAAGCCAAGATTTGAACTCATCATTGAACCTTGTGACTCATTAAAATAATAGGATCACAGGTTTTAGAAGGTTTTAGTTTTTTAACTTGACAATAGCTGGACTTTAACAACTGATGATACGATCATTTATAGTCATTGTTTAAAGAGATAATATACTTATTCTCTATTGCTGACTTGAGAAGGCTGATCCCACTGTCAAATCTGTCGGGCAAATATACGACTACAGCCAATAGCCTGTAGCCTAGTTTGGAAACAGGGTTAGGTTAATGCTGGCGATGTGACAGACTGTTTCTTGGCTGGGATAAGTAACCTTCTGAAGTCTTCGCTGACTGCCCAGCAAGCTCAAGGTGGCTACAGGAAGTCACTGCACCCGGCCAAGAAGTAGTCTGACATATAACCCTCTGTAAAATTGTAATTTTTACACTTTGGCTTTTGCACGAATGAATCAAACGGGATATAGCGTGTTTAGTAATGAGCTTTACACATGCTGGTAGGCAGATTTTGTACATACATTTCTAACCGCAGTATAACGCTAGAAATGGTATCAAAGCTTTTTGACTGGCCAGCCAGAAGCATTTTAGGGACAACAGCAGTTATGTGCTTATTAAATATGTATTTTCTATGTAATTTCCATGACCAATTCTTTGACTAATGACCTGAAAAATTCAGATTGCACTCTGTCTTTGTAATACAGTAGACACATACAATTAATTATATATTTCCATTATATGTTGTATTTTTCCTTCATATTTTGTTATTTAATGTTTATTTATTTTTTCTTATTGGCTGTGTTCTATCTGGAGCTGCTGTAACAAGTGAATTTTCCTAGTGTGTGATCAATAAAGTCCATCTTATCTTATCTTACAGTATATAGGCAGTGCAAAGGCAGAATGCAGAATGCACTTCAGTCTTAATGTCTTCTTCCTGAGAAAATCTAAATCTAATTTGATGTCTTATTACATTAAATCTGTATTTATTATTGTCTCATGTGTAAATTGAAACAGAATAGTTGAATTATCCGAGTAATACCTTGTCCTGTCTAGCTAGCTAGAGCTAGCACAGTAATATCCAAACTACTATTACTATCTGCTACAATTAGCCTATTATACACAGATGAAGAAAGTTCCCAGTGGAGAACATTAAGATTCCCTTTGTTTTAATTCCCTAGATTGACCTGAAATTGTCCAGAATACAGGATTTACAGACATGGAAGCCGCAGTAAAGCAGCTGAAGCTCTGAGAAACCAAGGGAGAGTGCAATAACTGCACTTACTGATGTTTTGTCTTGGTTTTTGGTTGGATTTTGTGGTTACTGCAATTTTTACATTGTTTTTTTTTTTTTCTCCAAGATGGAGCAAAATTTAAATTTGTCACAAGATAAAACAGAAAGTTCATTTTCAGTCAAAAAAATTGTAGTTACTGCGGTTTGCCTTTGTAGAGTAGTATTGATCTTCTCATTTAACTCGGCGTGAATACTAATACAAAGTATATTCTCTTTTCATATAAAAGCAACTGCAGGAAGAAACAATAACTTAACCTTTTTGTTTCATTAATGTTTATTTATACCTTTCAAAGTCATATTTCAAATATATTTTCCTCTAAAATACTTCAGTACATGACAGAGATATACAACACTCATCACTGATACCCTTCTCTCTTTTCTTCCCATTAAAGGTGCATTTCACATCTTTTTTTCCAAAATGGATCAATACATAGACTGCTGTATGCCGTAAAACCTGACAGTCAGCATGTGTACTATCACTGTGACCGATGCACTGTTTCCCAAAACGTACTTAATGCGAAGACAATGCTTGTCACAGTGAGTTACAATAGTCAGGTGGGTCCTAAAAAAGTTATTCATAAGGTTTTAAGGCTTTACCATTTGACGCTAGTTGGTGAAAAGTTTGATGCCACAGAAAAGAGAGACACTGTCGTGTATGTTGGTCAAAATGTCAAAAAGTTCAGTGAACACTGGGATTCAGCTACTTGTGGACTTGGAAGGTATGTGGGTCAGCCAGACGTTGATCAGAAAATAGTTTTCTGAAAACAAATCATTACCGTTTTCAGGCTTTTGTTGGGAAACCAGGACAAGGATCACAGCATTTTGTGGAAAAGATCATTTCCGGTTTGCAAGGCTGCAATACCCTCATTATGTTATCAGAAACATTACAGGGAAGCATTACCCAGAAGTGTTAGCCGGCACCTAAAAGACCGATTGTTTCACATTATCTTATTTTCTACAAAAAAGAAAAAACCTTTGAACATATACCTCATTTTATTACTGTTGCCAGGAGGAATACTCAATCTATTGCCACACAGTTGCTCAGTGTATTGGCAGCTTGTACAGTTGAGGAGGGGGCAGAGGCTGAGTTATTCCAGAGTGTCTCTTGCAGGTCAATTCCAATAAATTCAAGACAGTACAGACATTTCAGTAGATGGAAGATTAACAGTCAGTTTGTCATTCTAGTTGTTATTATTTACCTGTACGATGGCAGAAATCTATTTATTTATGTGTGTGTGTGTGTGTGTGTGTATGTGTTTCTATGTGTACATGGATGAGCTAACAGAAAGTGGAAATAACCAAGTGGCTAACATTTAATGGACACAAACAATTGTGTACTTATATATACACTATACATTGAGCACTGATGTTTAACTGACTCAACCTATGTTAAAGGATTACAACTGAAATCATTATACCTTTTAAATGTGACATTTTGGAATAGACTGGGCTTCAGATATTAAGAGAGATTAAGATTAGATTTACTGTGTCACTTACCAGATGAGAGAAAATCAAACTGTTTGATTGTCATGTGGTAAACATTTAGCTAGTTGTCTTATCTTTGGTTTGTCTTCATCAAAATTATTTAAAACTGGATCTAAAATCATCTAAGTTAAATCTGGAGGTGCCTTCAGTTTACCTGACGTACAGTATGTGTTTATTTTCTTTTACTTTTTGACAATCCATCATATTCTATTGAAGTAAGTAGGTAGGTAATTTCTTAAAACCGCATAAGTCAACTAATAACGCCATTACATCTGCTGGTTAATATCTGAAGCACTGTACAGGTAATGACTTTAATGAAGTTGAGTTCTACTGATGCTCTTTGCAATGTTAAGGTCAAATACATTTCTGATGGACCTTCTCTTACACTCAAAATAGTCATTCATTACATTTCTGGTGCTTGAAGTTAAATCAGCTTTTGTATTCTAACTGAGAGTTATGCTACACATTCTCACTGTGCTTATCTACAGCACTGTATAATGATCAGCATGTTTAAGATGTTTGCTTGCTACCAAAGCATGTCACCTAGGACAGATATTTTTATTGCTGACAAAAGCTTTTAATTATTTTTCTTTTAAAATTTTATTTTATTAACATATGTTCTTTTGGAACAAATGACCATGACTTCCACCGAAATAATGCATATCACTTGAATTATAAGTAATGCTTTCAGCTTTTGATTTTATTATAGAAGAAAAATGCAAACCTCACTTTGTGTCTGTTCTACATGTACGTATGACATAACCAAAAAGTGCTGCTACAGGTGTGTTACACTCTGAATAATGTGAAATGGTAATGACTAAACCATTATTAAAATGTTAAAATCAGTAACAGCAGCTTGATTTACATTCTGTTGAAAACAATGTTTGGTCAGCGAATACTGACTGCTTATGATGACTCAAAGCTGAACTTAGCGTTGCAGTTTTGAAGAATTTTGTTGACACATTTTTGGAAAGAAAGAAACATTGCTCTATCATACAGGGGCAGATGTATACAGGACCAGTTAGTTTCCAACGTTGCCATATTGCCACATCACATATTTTAATACTTATGGTGGTAAAAAGTGACAATATGTTGCCTTATCAGTCAATACAACGACATACAATGGGCGGAATTATTCACACATGTGCATGTTACGCTTTGATACTCTGTTCTCAGGTGGGTGAAATAATGCAGTGTCTTCCCCCTTTAAACTTAAGCTATATAAAAAAGCTGAGTGTATGTATCAGTTTGGGAAATTTAACAAAGGTTACAGACAACAGATCTTAAAACTTCCACAATATTCTGCAACTGTCGCATGTCTAAATGCAATGATAATAATGGTAGTGATGTCATTACTGCCATTCAAATATGAGGTAATATGAGGAACGATTTGAAAGTTAGCATGATGAAATGCCATGCACATCAATGCTTAATGATATTTCTAAAATGTATTTAGTACTATATGGGCAACATACTTGACCCACCGTGTGCTGCTGTAGTGCTCAATAATGCTCTTGATACTGTACAACTTAAACTAGCCACATGTAGCCAATTCCCTTAGCCATAGGCTGTAGACATTGGGGGTATTGCTATGAATGCCTAAAAACAAATACTGTTGTCGTTTGGGAAAAAAATGGGCATTCTGAGGAGATTATAAAAAGAATAATTGAAAATATTTTCAGCTTAGCCTTAGTGTATATGATTGCAGAACGAACAAGCTACATTTACAGGAAAGCATGTTACTCAAATTCACTTCTAAAATATCAGTCAGGTACAACCTGCCATCATGTGCACTCATCGTAACAAAGCACATGAATTATGACAGAGAGAGATAAGATAAAGATAAAGCTAAGATTGAGAGTTTGCTTACAGTAGGTTTCAAAGGGCTTCCATGGTTTTACAATACACTACTGTCTGTGGATTTTCACAGATTTATCCAACACGCCTTAACATGGAAAGTGCCACTCACACCAGACTGGGCAAGCTAAACAGGCACATCATTTCTGTATGTTATGTACTATTTATGACTGAAATAATGCAATTTGTATCGACCACAATAAAGAAAAGAAAAAAAAGTGCAATGATCAAATCAACATGACATGACAGAAAAAAGAACATATGGTGTTAAAAAGACTGCACATGGTAATGGAGCTGGAGCAGGGTGACTGGTGGATGTGGAGTTTTCTCAAGATACATTTAAGCCTGGTGCAGCAAAATGCACACTATCCCCTGAATGATTAAAATAGCTACAGCTGTAATTGTGGAACTTCATGAATGGTGAATACACTGGTAATTATAAATCAGAACTGACAAATCATGAGATATGTACCCATTATGATCTGTTTTGAGCAAGATTTAAATGCAATCATAAACTATTGTATATAGAGCTATAGATATGAGTATTGCTTAACTTTAACAATCATATCTATGTGGTTATGAAAATCTTTTACACTACATATATTCAATGTTAATTAAACAATGATAGAGAATCTGATATGCAATCCACACTGCACACCCGCCACATATCTTCTCCATCTTTCACTCCTGTGTATGGGGAATACATACATAACATTCAATAACCTGTGAAGAAATAAGTGCTCTCTGATCATATATTCAACTGAACTCACTGCAGGCTCTTTTCCGCCCCCTTGTACCACACCATGCTTCTCTTTTCTTTAGAGACATGTCCAGCTATTCTGTTGTGGCTGATCAATCCAGACATCTGAGTCACGATGTCCAGTGATGGGATGTTCATGGTAAGGGAGCAGACATGTGAACGTTCATCTACCATCCGTGGTTGTGCCTTCTGTGTCATTCACAGATAAAACATGTGTTTGAGGCAGAAGGTGAGCTGAGGGCCCGACTGTGATGTCAGCAAGGAAAACTGAGTTTGTGTGTCTGAGTGTGTGTGTGTGTGTGTGTGTGTTCAGTATGTGTGAAGAAAAGCTAAGGTTTCTATCCAGGTGGCTTGGGTCATCCTTGCATTTGCCTCCTCATGCTCAATTCTCGTTCTGGATCACAAATCATCTTCTCTTCCTCTCATAAATATTAATATAATACTTTATTACCCATTGCCCTTGACCCTTTTAACGGCATAAACAAAACAAAACCAGAAAGCAAAATATCAAAAACATTGAATAGGTCTGACAAATTGCAACATCACATAATAAGTAGAAGAAAACTCAAAGGAACAGCAGAGGTTGTATAAATGTTGTGCTTCTTTAATTTCACTTTGTAAAGTCCTCCACTGTCCTAGTTGTGTTTTAGTTTAAACTTTGTTATATTTAATATATATAGAGATAAATGTACACGTATAATCCGCACTGAGGTTCGTCTCTTGTGGCAAGCAGAGGGCAAGCAGAGAGGCTACCAGGAGCACTCTTCTTTTCCCCTCTGTTTCTGGTTTGTCCTTTCCTCACCATTCATTTGTTTATTCATTCATTCATTCATCAGTTTTTTTTTTTCATCCGTCTCTTTTATCATCTCAGTAGCTCCCATGGTCCCAAAGGCTGGGTTGGAAGGGAGACGGTCTTTGTGAAAAAGAAGGATTTCTTCGCACTTTCTTTTCTCTTTCAGTTACTTCTTAGAATCCCTGTTTCCTCGTTTTATTCCCTCAGGTCCTTAGTCATCTTTGGTAGAGTGTCCGACACTTTGGTGTGTCTGGGGAATAGGGTGGAGGGGCCGTCGAGGATTGTGGTTTGAGGGGGCTGGAGATACATGAGAGGGTGCATGTATGGATGAAGAAGGTTAATGAAGGGTAGGAAAAGGTGACAAAGTGACACGCTGACATGGATAAAGTGAATCTAATCAGATTAATAGATTGACAAAGGAGAGAACATGAAGTTTGACTAATCATTACGTATGTTCACCTTAAATACAGTATGAGCGTCAGTTGGTTATACTGAGTGTCTGGGGGGGTTCAAAGAAAGCAAAGCAGGAAAAACTAGACAAAGACTTTGTGTTACCATTTATCTAAGCGACTAGGATTAAATGGATGCATGAAGGATAGAAAGACAACGAGTGGAGAAGGACAGACAGTTAGGGAGACAAGTACGTTGAGGAAAGGACAGGGAAAAGGGTAGAGAGAGAAGTAAAAGAGCGCGAGTCAGGGCAGTGTCTGTCACTACAGACAGGTGGTGTTGTGGGAAGTGCTCATCATCTGTAGAGTAGCGACAGGAAGCAGGAGAGGCCAAAGGTCAGCCAGCTGGCCAATGGGAGTGAGTGCGATCCACCAATCAGAACTGTGGAAACAGAGCAAAAAAAGTAGTTTGTAATACACTCCGTACATGACCAATCATGAGGGCTTTTCACACTCCAGCCTTCAATTCAATTACTTTTTTACTCATAATTTATTCTTCTGAGCAAACATGGAAGAGTGGGATAGCTTTTAATTGCTGGCTGACATGCATTTACATCAGATTGTTTAAAAATGTTTATGTGCACTTAATATAATTATCAATCTCATTATTGTTTTTACCAAAGGTCTCACAGGAAGAATTTCTCTGAATCATCTTCGATGTAAAATGTCCTTTTATTTTGCTCCTGAAATGTATTGTATTCAGTATAATTCAGATAAAAAGTGTAAATTGTACTTTTTTCCCCCTCTTTTCTCTCTTTATTTCTTTAACTGTCCCTTGTAAATTGCATTTTTATAGACCAGGCTAACCTTGACATTACAATAACCCCAGGCTAAGTAGATAACTAAACATGTAAGTGTATATGTATCTCTTTGGCCTTAGGCTGACTTTAAGCCTGAGGCTGAGCACAGTGGCATGTGTGATGGAAAAGCCCTGGTGTGGCAGAGAGCTTATAGTTTTCTTTTGAAAAAAAAAGCATCATTTGAACAATAGCAAGCCATGTTAACAACATTGAAAGCAGGAGGAGGGTTGTAGGAAGATGGATCTGTGTTTTACAATTTCATGTGGAGAAAAGCGACAAACTGTCAGGGAAAGAAAGAAGAGTCATGCAGAAAATGAAGGAAAGGGAGAGACATGGAACCAAGAATGAGGGGGCGAATGAGTAAACAGTGAGATTCCAGACTCTATCATGGCAGCTTTGAGATTTGAATGAGAAAAAAAATTACATTTGATGTCATCATCACCAATATGTGATCCTTTGGAGGTTGTTATTGTTTATGCACAGTTAGAAGATGCAGTACACACATCTTCTATGCGGTGTAATTTAATTGTTCAGAACCCTTTTACTGATATAAATAACCGGCAGCTGCATATGTGAGATCATCTAAAGTTTCCAAAGTTTAGTTTCTTTTTCGTTAAAATCTTACAGTTCCACACAGAAGACATACATATAGAATTACAAAAATGCAGCAATAAATTACACGTAAGCTGCTCAAAGACAGAGTTTCATAAATAAAAAGTAGGTATTATATTAAAAAGATCAATATGATTTCATATCAAGGGTCCATCCTCCAGGCAGAAAATCAATATTTATAATAAAGCTTTGATCCATACGCTGCGGACACGCACACGCACACTCCCACATACACATACACATTCCTGTAGTATAGTTTGGGGGCAGCAGATTGAAGTGAAGCATGGTGTTTTACATCCCTGTCTCTCCCTGTTCCAGTTATTGTGTGTAAGTGCTTCAGGTCTGTATGCCATACATCTATCTGATCTGTCATGGAATTAAAAAGGAGTTAGAAAGTTAATGGATTACTATGGGCATATGCAGTGTTTGTGTGTGTTTGTTGTGGGTGGTCCCATGTATGTGCAGTCAGTGAACAGTCATTTTAATACACTTGCATGACTGTGAGCCTCTGCACATACTTCTTGCTGCTGCAACTAACACAAAACTCACTATTCAGCTTTGATGGGACAACTGTTTAAACCTTCAAAAAACAGGATACGTCTCAATTTATGTCACAGTATACTCAAACATATAGAATGACTACCCAAGCTGTCAATGATCTTGCTAAACTACTTCCTGGTTTAAATTTGAGCTAAAATTAATCAAGCAGTATCAGAGCTTATTTTGTATTACGTCTGAATCAATGTTTCACCTATTTGGAAAGTTTTCAGAATATGGTACAGTGGGTCAATGTGATAGAAGAGCAATAAAGAGATCAGGAGGAAACTCCTTCAGTGGAAAAAACAGAAAGAGAAAAGCTCGCCTTCTATCACCTCTCCTCTAACACACAGCGGCGCAAGGTAGAGCTCTGTGATTTATGCACGCAGCATAGCACCAAACATGTCAGAGGCAATCATCATTCATTTGTGGAAGACTGTAGGATAACAGTCATGCACACAGTTAACCTGAAGTAAATGTGTGTACATGTGACAATGCACTACAGTTCTCACCTGTGTGTATTTGTAGGCATATGTGCATTCCTGTGTGTGTGTGTGTGTGTGTATGTTTGTATGTTTGTATGTTTGTGTGTGTGTGTGTGTGTGTGCTTAAAATGACAGTAAGTCTCCACTGAAAACACTTTGTGGGTGGATGTGGTGTGTGTGTACCCAGTACGCGTGTGTGTGTGTGTGTGTGTGTGTGTGTGTGTGACACAGGTGTGATGTATCAGCTGGGTGATGCTGCCAGGCTCACCTACTCTCCCTCCATCTCCTGTGAGATGCAGGGTGCAGCAGCAAAGTGTCATAGGAGAAGTGCACTCTGGCTGAAGAAACATACCGATTCTCTCTCTCTGTTTCTCTCTCTCTCTC